GCCGCGGGGCGAAGACGAGAGCCCGAGGCGCGGCCGGCGGAGCTAGCGCGCAGCAGCCTGTGCTCGGCCGCGGCGAGGGCGGGGGAAGAAAAACACCCTGTTTCCTCTCGGGCCCCCACCGCGGATCATGTACCAGGACTATCCCGGGAACTTTGACACCTCGTCCCGGGGCAGCAGCGGCTCTCCTGCGCACGCCGAGTCCTACTCCAGCGGCGGCGGCGGCCAGCAGGTAGGTGCGGGGTCCCGGGTGCACCTGGCGGCGCGGGCGGACCCCCGCCAGGCGCTCACCTCCACGGCCTTTTTTTTTTTTTTTTTTTGCTTTCTTTTCCCTTTCTGGGCTTGGGGAGAAAATTCCTCCGGGTCGCCTTTGAGAGTTGCGGGTTTTCGTCTTGTGCTACCGTCCACCTTTCCCTTCCAGCCCCCACTTTTTTTTAAAAGCTGGAACGGGGTGTGGGGCTTGAAGCGCTGATCAACCCGTTTCTTCACACTACATCTTATCCAGGCTTCTGGAATCGCCGGTCCCCTACCTGGGAACCTGTTACCTCCGCTCTCAGGAACCGCCCGCCCCCCTCCCCCTGTCTCTCCGGGGTGTATGAGGAAATCTTTGCATCCACAGTTATTCCCGACATCCAGGCACCCTCTTCCTTCGGGAAAGCCGTCTCCCTCTCTTGCCCAGTTGTCTGAGTTAATTTCTCGAAGAGGCTGGGGTCTCGGAAGCGCGGCTGGACTCCTTCAAGTACTCGGAGGGAGCGGTGGGGTGCGCGCGGGAATCAGGTGCGAAGGTCGGGAAAGGAGGCGGCGCCTTGATTGGCCCGGGCGGCGCCGGTGTGCCCCGGCGGTCCAGCTCCTGTGAGGGTCGGAGCCGAGCAGGCGCGACCAGGAGAAAGGACGCCTTCAGGAAATGGGGGTACCTGGGGCAAGGACAACGCGTGCGGTGAGAAATGGGGGGGGGGGGTACAAGGAGCTCGCTTTGGCTCCTGGGTGGTTCTAGAGGCAGAAAAACAACTTGTTTCTAAAGCAGCCAGACTGGTTTGTACTGGAGGGATTGTGCGTGAGATCTGTGTGTCTATAAATACCAGAAAGGTACTGCTGGGGTGGTGGTGATGGTGGGGTGCCTGCCCTCCGCAGCAGCCCCACCCCCACCCCAAGCTTGTGAGGGAGCTGGCTTAATACACAAGGCCACTCCAACTGGAGCCACCATGGTCGGATCTGCGGAGTCAAGTTGGCTACAGAAAGAGTTGCTCTGGGGAGGCAGTGGCTTTGGGCCTCCAGAAGCAGGGGTGGGGGTGACCAGATCTGGAGAATAAATTGGAAACATCTTGAGATCTAAACAGGGAGCCCTATTCCGAAGTGATCTCCCATGCCTGGTGAGCCACCCCCCCCCCCCCCATGGCTGTCCGGAGTGTCTTTCCTCTGCCTCGGGTGGTGTCCCCTTGAGCACTGGCTGTAGAGTGCCTGGTCTGTGGAAAGAGGCGGCCAATGCACCCTCAAGAATGAGCACCACAGGGGCGAATTTTAAATTGGATCCTAAAAAGTATTTGATTTTGCTTGCTTTGGAGTCCCATAGGTGGTTTATATAGAATACAAGCATCCTCAGGTGATGGGAGGGGTCTGGGCAATACCCTGCCACTCACTCTCCAGTTCAACAAAAGCCAAAATGCCTCTTTCCTCCCCAGAGCAGGGAAGGGGTCTTCTGGCTGCAGGTCTGTTCCCCTCGCTGTCGCTGTCGTTTCTGCGGCAGTCATCATTGACATATTACAATCTCGCTGTCTGGCTTTGCTCAGACCCTGGATGGGAAGCCAGACCGGACATCAGTGCCCCGACTGAATAATCTGTGTCACTAGGGCTTTGAGCCCAGGATGTGAGCAGAGGCAATTCCCTGTTTTGGAAGAAAATCAGACAGGAAACCAGTGCTAGGAAGAAGGAAGAGAACTCAGTCCAGCAGGGTGTAATGGGGCCTCATTACTGAAGCAAAAAGCAGCTGTTGGCTAATTCCAAGCATGCTGTAACACATGAGGATTTTGCAATTAGTAATAACTAGTGCACGGGGTTCTCGAATATACGCCTGCCTGCCTGTTCAGCCCAGCAGCTTATGTGAGGCGCCTTGCAAACCAGAGCCATTGGCAAGGTAAAGCCACTTTGGACTTGTTCTCCAGCCTGTCTGCTCTTTGGGGGAGAGGGTGCCTGGAGCAGGGGAGAGGATTTTTCCATCATTCCTCCAACTTCAGCAAAGCCAACGTGTGGTCCTCAGGGCTGGTTTGAGAGGCTTTTGTTACTTTACATGGCTGTGCTATGACCCCACCCTATTGGAACCAGGCTCAAGGTAACTTTATTATATAGCAGATAAAAACATGTAATCACTTTATTTCTCTCAGCTTCCTTTAGAGTTAGGAAGGGCTTTCCTCCTTTATGGCATCAGTGAACCAAGTCCCGTAAGAGGGCTCTCTGGCCTTCCCTCTGGCAAATGGATATTATTTTTCTTCTGATCTCTTTGTTTGTGGGGTCTAATGTTCCTGATAACTTTGTTGCGATTTACTCAACCCACAACTTTCCTCTGTAGCCTCATAAAGCTTGACCTTAACACATGGCCATAAGTTCCAGTGACTAGGGTGAAGGGGGGCAGCCAACTCTTTGTTAAAACTTGGGTTCTTGTATATGGCAGGAACTTGAAGCATGAAAAATATTTCCTGTTCCAGTTACAGTTTTCATCTCAAAGATTGGTCATTGGTGATTTTGTTTTGTCAGAAATAGTTGCACACATCTCCCTCCTCCTGGCCTTTTCTTTTTGTTGTTATTGTTGTTTTCTCTCTGCTAACTTTCCTAGGAAAACACCTCCCAGATATATGCCCTGCTTGCCTGGCTCTTACGGTTTCAGAGCCTGAGCACATTACGCAATCCAGCCAGTTACACAAACATAGGTCATTTCATAACTTGTTTTCATCAGCTGGGCCCCCTTTTAATGAAAAAACAAAACAAAAACAAGACCCAGAACTTTTCCAAGGCTGCCATTTGTCTATTCCTCGGATAACTTAGGAAAATAAATCAAAGGGGAACAGTTCCTTTCCGGAATCACAGGATACCAGCCCAGCTCTCTTCTGCAACCACCCTTTCCCAAGACACACACACAGACACACACACACACACACACACACACAAAATTCCCCAGAGTGAACTTTTGCCAACTGTACCAGTCTGGGACATTCCTCACATCAAAGAAGTTTTACCAGAAATGACTGTGATTCCCAAATCAGCCCCAATCATACCTCTCTAGTGCCCCCTGCAGGGCATCCTTAGAACTATCTGGGGAATGTATTTTTCCAGCCCCAGAGTGTTGTTAACTTGGTTAGCCTTAGGAGTTCTTGGGTTTTTTTTTTTTCCTTTAATTCAAGACCAATAAAATACCATATATTTAACAGTAGTTAACTGGAAACTGCTTGGGTTTGAAATTGCAATTTTCTTTTTTTTTTTTTTTTGGATCTTGTTTTAAATAAAGCTTGGTTGAAAAAGGAGTGCTTTTTTCTTTCCCTATTTCCATGTCTGTCTGTTCATTAGGGCGCCAGCACAATGTCTTCACATTCCTAAGCCTTGTTTTCCTGATGGATCTGTCTGAGGACACTGGGAATTGTTTGGGGAGATGGTCTTCAGAATTGGTGAGAAGCTGGGAGGTGTGTATTAAGGGTGTAATGCTTTTTTATTTTAGTTTAGTTTTGCCTACAGATGTTGTAGATTAGGATCAAAGAAAATGTTATTCCAGGAATTTGTCTGTTCTGCTGAGCCTGCATGGTGGAAGGGAGCATCACTTTTTCATCAAAGTGAATGGGGTGAAGCAGTCATGGACAGTCTGAGGAGCAATGGAATCTTCTGAGCTAAGCCCCTGGGTGTCCTTCTCTAACTTTACTTCTGCCTGTCCTATGCAAGGGGCATGTAAAGCTGGGAGCTGTGCTTTCTTTCTACCTTAATACAAACACACTAGAACTTACATGTCCAAATCACTGTTGCCCCCTTCATAATTATTCCTCAAGGAGACCGAATACTTATTTGAGTGCCGTGGCTATTAATCAACTGGAAGGGTTTTACATGCCCTTCTTAGGGAACTGCCTTCAGCAAATTCTTTTGAAAATCCTTCCTGCTAACCTTTGTCTTTTGATGGCGAATTTGTAACTGGGAAATTATCAAAAGACCTAACGTAGAAGAAACCCAGTCTGACATAGGGCTCGGGTGCTCAGGCTGGCCCAAGGTGCAGTGCCGCTGAGCCCTGGTGTTCCCAGACCCAGGCCTGGGCAGCGGCCGCCCCCCAGCAGAGGCACATGAAAGCAGGCCCCTTTGCCATCTCTACCTCCCGTGTTGCACTTCTGCTAAACAGGAGTAAAGATACTGGCTTTGAGGATGAAGGAAGCTAATTTTCTGGTCTATTTGTTGAAAGAGAGGAAAAACATAGCATTATTATTTTGTGGGTTTGTCTCGTCCATGTTGAATGTGGTGTCTCTGGGTGGCCACAGCGTTTCAAAATGACAGCAGCTGCCCTGAGTTAGGCAAATATATCTGTTCCAAACCCCACTTGGTAACTCTATCCCTCTTCCACTCGCTGGATGGGAGGGGAAGATGTAAGATTTCTCGAGCTGGAGCTGTCCCCCGGCCCAGTTACCCTGTTACTTGACTCTGCTTTGGCCACGCCCCCAGCTGTGGTCTAGGGAAGATGAGTTGGTCAAGTCCTTCTCCTTGAGTGCAAAGGTGTCTGAGGACTGCTGGGGTCACAAAGGCGGTCCACAGAATAATGGGTGAATTCCCCTGGGGTCTGGTGTGGGGTTTCTGGCAAAAGAGCCTTGGGAGGGGAGAAGCTGGGGAACCTCACGGCAGAGAAAATGCCTTATAACCACTTCTTTTCCTTGCTTTTTCTTTTCTTCCCTACTCTTCCTCACGCTGGCAGTTGGGTGAAGGAGGATAGCATGGTTCTTTCAAGTGAACCTGGGAAAGAGGAGCAGCTACAGGTCTCCGGAGATATGTTTGTGTACCCCACACTTTGGGGAGAAACCATGAGTTACTAGCAACCACTGATTTCCATTGTGATAGGAATGAAAGGTCAAAGCGATGTCCAGTGCAAAATCTGTGAAGGCTGGTGCAGCACATAGGGAGTACAGAGCCTCTCTAGAGAGGCTTTGTAGAACACTCCACGTTCAGTAAGAAGAGAGGGCACTTGAGCCCAGCTGGACCGCAGCAGGGGCATTCTGGAAGCTGGAGGCAGCATTTTGCTCAAACGCGCCTCTTCCCCGAGTTAGCTTTCTGGGATGCCGGGATTCTCCTTTCCCATACTGGCAATCTTAAAAACGAAAAGAGTTCTTAAGAGAAAGAACTCAGTCCTTTCCCAGACACAGAATAGGTCACAGGTGTCCATGGGTTCCTGGCTTGAGTGCCCGGTGGCCCAGTTGAGGATCAGTCTGATGGAGGAAGGCATGGCTGAGGGATGGGCCAGGAAGCCCGGCCTGACTTCACCTCACCTGCCATTTCTGCCCAGCTCAGGAGTCTCTGGGATAGCCTTGCCTATCCATGGCTGCAGGAACCGGGAAGCCAAGCCCTTCTTTCAAAACCCTTCTGTCAAATGTCACGGTCATGGTGCCCATCAGCGCAGCCAAAGCCGTGCTGTGGAGTTCACAAAGGTCATTTTCCCAAATGAGAACTGCTAGGCCTCTGGGACTGCTCTGACCTGACGAAGTTGTGTGGCCCAGGCTGAAGGAGACCCTGCTGCCCAGAGATTTTAGCGGGGCTGGGGAGGGCTCAGGCTTCGGCCTTGGGGGCTAGAGATCCAAGCGGATGAGCTCGAGCTCATCCCCTTGATTTCTTGGGTCAGAGGAGTACCCCACTTCTGGTGCTTTGCCTTCCTATTTCCTGTCTCTCTACTTTTCACCCCTACCTGAGCACTGGAGATGAGACCGCTGCTATAGGGCAGGGGCCGCCAAGCCCTGACCAGGCCTTTTGTAAATGAAGTGTAATAGGACGCAGCCACGCCCATTTGCTTACACACTGTCTGACTCCTTGCTACAGTGGCGAGTGGAGCAGTTGCGACAGAGACGGAGATCATGGCCCGCAAAACCTACGGCATTTACTATCTGGTCTTTTATAGCAAAAGTTTGCCAAAGCCCTCAGGGTCGCTCTTGCCCGCACCGACAGATGGCACAGTTAAATAAAGCACTAGGGGCTTTGCCAGCTCGAAGCCATCAACACCCTGCATCCTCAGGCTGGTCCTCAGAGGGGAGCTCCTAAGAGGAGGGGCTGCAGAGCTGGGGGCAGAAGGGCCCCCTCCCCGCAGAACACGCCCCCTGCCAGCCACTCAGGGGCCAGTGTGCCCTCATAGCCACAGCTGGGAAGCCCGTCTCAGTTTCTGTCCCATGTTAACCGGCTCATGGAGAACCGTGATGTATCCCCAGTGTGACAGCTCACTGAGTCTGGGTCTGCGGCTGTAGAAGAATGCCAAGCCAACTTCTGGGGCTCCAGACCCCTACTCCAAGGTCACTCTCTGACTGATCCCTTTGAAGTTGCTGCTGCCAGCTCCCACTTAAACTTTCCTGTGTGTCTCCCCTTGGAGACAAAAGCCTCCATTACCAGAGCCCAGCCCCCTCGGATGAGCATTGTTTTCCTGCAGTCCAGGGCGAGTGTTACCCAGAATGCTTTACCTCTCTCGGAAACACTTGTACCCGAGTTCAGAGGCGGTCATTACCTACTGCCTTGTTTTTATTGCCGTCTTGTTTTGTCTAGACCAGGCCATTGCTGCAAGGAATCTGGCTGGTGGCCGGGCGCCCTTGCTGTAGGCCTGGCTTCCCAGAGCAAGGGAGCGAGCCCCAAGGCCTGCGAAGGCAGTCTGGCGCCGTTCTTCAGGGGTCTTCGTCCCCAAGCTGGACTTGGCTTGCTCGCTTCCTCCCCAAGCCTGACACAGGAGCTCTTTTGTTTGTTGGGACCAGGAGTGAATTTCCTGGGTGCTTTCCTAAGAGGGAAGATGGTGGGTTTGCTTTCTGAGGTGCATGTTAAGTCATGTTAAGTCATCACTCAGGGTGCTGAGTGCCCTTTGGCTCCAGAGCCTGACTTGGGAGGAGACATGGAATAAAATATTGGGGGCTTCCCAGAGCTGGGACGCCAACGAGTCTCCCCAGCGCCCTCCTGGGCAGAGTCCACGGAACTCGCAAGGATACCGCTGGCGGCCGTGGCCACAACACAGGCGACAGGGCCACCCCTCACTTGTCCGGAGCATCGCTCCTCCACCCCTGCCGCACCTTAGAATCTCCTTGGGCGGGTTTTTAAAATCTCTTATCGGAACCCTACTCCAAACTAATTATTTCAGAACGCTAATGGTGAGGCTCCCTCCAACCTTGTTGTTTTAAAAGGTCCTCCGAATGTTCTAATGCACAGCCAGGGTTGGGAACATGGGTGTGCTTTTATAGCCTGTGATTACAAGTAGCTACTTATTTAATCATCATGGCATTGCAGTGAGTTTGGTGTCTGTGTTCCCCCTGACAGACAGGGAAACTGAGACCGCAGCGAGTGGCCACGCGCTGAGCCAGGGCTCTCGGGGCCTGGTTCCAGGCGGCTCAGGTGCCTGGCCCCACCCAGCCGCAGCACCCCAAGGGAGGCCTGGCTGCTGGAGCCTCAGTGCTTCTGTACTCAGCCACACCCACACCTTCTCGGCGCTGGGCCGCCTCAACCCAGCCCTGGCTGTCTGTCGCTTCTCCCTGAAGGTCGTTTTCCACGTGGACCTTTCTGGCCATGCCCCCCCCCCAATCCCCCCATAGACCTCCTGCTTTACGGTCAGCTCTGATGAAAAGCCCAGTGGTCTTTGCCTTCAGGGAAACTCAGAGTCTCCTGCCCTGGGTAGTGCTCCTTCTGGAACAGAACCCCAGAATCTATGGCATGGGGTATTGCTCTTTCTGGACCCCACAGTCCCTTGCATGGGGTATTGCTCCTTCTGGATGCCCAGAATCCCTGGCACTGAGCAGCTCTCTTCAGTGAATGCCTTTGGCCTGGGGCAGTCTGGGAGGTGAGGTAGCCACTTCCTACCACCCAGACTGGGGTCAGGAGCTGGGAGGGGAGTGGGAGACTCAGGCCCCAGCTCCCCCTGGCCTCAGAGAGGTACTCTGAACTTCACTGTCTTAGAACAGCGGGGACCCCCATGCTGCTGCCACGGGCAGAGACGGGTGGTGGCAGCTGCCATCGCCCGCTGCCAGTACTCGTCAGCCTGACTGGTCTTGTGGTTGCCTGAGCACAGGGGGATACAAGAGCGTCCTTGCCAGTGAAGTGGGATTTCCTTTGGCACAGACATGGGGCCTCCCCAGTGAGAGAAACTTTCTGCAGGCATCCTTGATGGAGGTCACCTGGGGCTCCAAGGGCGAAGCAGGAGGACAGGAGCACCTGGCTGGGTTTCGGGGAAGCAGGGGCCAGCCAGGGGCGCGGGTGGGCGCGGGGGGGTCCTGGCAGCCAGCCTCTGTCAGCCGCCTGGGTCGAGCCTGACCTCACTGCTCATTAGCCGTGCGGCCTTGGGGAAGTTACTTGATCTCTCTGAGCCTAAGTGTCTCCCTCCAGAAGGGAGATAATGGCGGTTCTTACCTCACAGGGAGACTTAATGAGATAATCTAGGTAAAACACGGTCCTGTCATTTAGTAAGAGTCCGGTCAGTGTCAGCTATTATTGTCGTTGCCATTTCGCCCAGCAGGTTAGGGAAGGGAGGGTTTGATGAACTTTTTCTATTTCGTGAAAGCATCTGAGGATGTAGCTCCACCCGGCGGCCCCCTTTGGGGGAGGACTTTCCCCTGAATCTTCTCCCGCCTCTTCTGAAGGCCACCTGCTGTGGCTCGCAGCTCGTTTTAGCTTTTTGTGCTGCATCATCATCTTGTGTTTTACATCGGATGCTTCTTGGGGCGAGCGCCAGAGAGCTCACAGCAGGCCTGGGCGGCAGTGAAGAGGCAGCTCGGGCCGAGCAGCAGCACAGGGACATTCGTGGGCAGGTGGAGAGACGCCCTGTCTGTGCCCAGCAAGACGGGGGGTGAGGGGCCAGGACGAGGGCAAGGACAGTCTGGGGACACCTTTCCAGGGACTTGGGCTCGCCTTGGGGTGCCCCGACCCCCATCATGAGCTTGTTGGTGCGGGAACAACAGCAGCGGGTTCTTCGCTTCCTGGCCATCTCCGATCCTCCAGGCTGCGGTGGGCAGGTCTCCTCCAGGAGGGGATTTGCCGGGAGTCCTCCCTGGGGAGGGACGGGCAAGTGACGAGGCTGGACAGGCCCACGTGTGTGGCTGCCTGCCGACCTGGCTGACCGGAGTGTGAGGAACGGGGAGCCCCACCTGTCTGAGGAGTCATTTGGGACGTGACTGCGTCCTCCTGGGGCACCCGAGGTCGAGTCCAGGGCCTCTGGCAGGGAATACATTCTGTGATAAGAGGCCCTGGGAAGAGCTCAGACCCCTCCTAATTCCCGAATGTGCAGGGCTTGCCCGGGGAGAGCTCCCCTGGTACCCTGCCCTAGCCCGCCCCCTGGCCCTGACCCTGCTTTCTGCTGCTTATCTCAACTCTTCTCGGGATTTATCGGCTCAGTCTGATTTTTCCCTTGTTGCAGAAATTCCGGGTAGATATGCCTGGCTCAGGCAGCGCCTTCATCCCCACCATCAACGCCATCACGACCAGCCAGGACCTCCAGTGGATGGTGCAGCCCACCGTCATCACCTCCATGTCCAACCCGTACCCCCGCTCGCACCCCTACAGCCCGCTGCCGGGGCTGGGGTCTGTCCCTGGGCACATGCCCCTGCCGAGACCTGGCGTGATCAAGACCATCGGCACCACTGTGGGCCGCAGGAGGCGAGACGAGCAGGTACGTGCGGCCCAGCCCAGCAGCCAGGAGCCGTGTGGGAGGCTTTTGGGATGGTGAGGTGGGCGGTTTCGTGTGGACCGGGAGGGAGCAGGTCGGGGTTCTTGGATGCTGGGAAGGGGTGCGCACAAGGGGGCCCGGAGCCCAAGACCACCATCACAAGCAGAGAGGAGACCGAGGTGCCCTGGCTGTGCCCCCGTGCCATGTCCCTTTGAGTCTTTGAGTGTCCGTGTCCTTGGCTGTGAAATGGGGAGGATGGACCTGCAGGGGGGCAGCCAGGACTTGTTGCTGCTCCGGGGAGTGGGCGGGAAGGCATGTCCAGGTGTCCTAGCAAACGGAAGCACTGCTGGGACCTGCCAGTGGTGTCCTTCCCTGACCTCACGGTGGCTGGGAGCTGCCTGGGATCCGCGTTCAGTTGTCGCCCAGCATCTGGGGCAGAGGAGACGCTCCCCAGACCAGAAGCGTCCCCGTCCAGGCTGGCACGGCCCCCGGCACTCTCGCTGCGCCTGGTGCCCAGGCCCCCGGCTCTCGAGAAGCCCATGGCGAGTGTCAAATGCACGTTCAGAAGTGCAGCTGCTCTCGGCCTCTGCCTGGAGGAAGTCAGGCGGTCGACACCTGCCCTTTATCCTCAAGGGGCTCAGCTCTGAGGAGCGGTCAGTCTGACCAGGGAGGGACGTCAGAAACTGTAGCTTTGGAAGCAGCTCCAACCCCATATTCAGAAGGCCCCTTGTCTGTGTCATCAGCAAGGGAGGGAAGCTGTCAGCCCCAGTTCCAGGAGAGAAGTCACAGAGGTGCCTGATTCCAGAGCAGGGGCTGGATCGTCCAAGGGCCCCACGTGTCTCCCTTTGCCAGAGACATAACCGAGGCCCAGGTTCCTCCGCCCGAGGCCTTCCAAGAAGCAGCAAAGGCCAAGCCCCTGGCCAACGTGCGGCGCCCGGCTGTGCAGCGCCTCAGGGGATGGCACTAGTGGTCTCCCAAGCAGCACGGGCCCAGTTGCCAGCACTCGCCCTGCCCCCACCTGCTGCCCCAGCTCCACACCGTTGCAACCTGAGGACCCCTCGAGCACGCACCCCGTTGTATAATCTTACCCAGGCCAGTCGTCCCCGGGAGGCTTAGAATGAACAGAGTCCCTGCTCTTGGCACCTGGCAGCGTTGGCCGGAGCCTGATCCCCTGAGGACCAAGCTGGGCCTGGTGTCCACCACGTGTTGGTTTGTTCTTTCTGTGGCACAGAAATAACTTTGAGAACATGGGGAGGTGTGTGGAACAGACAGGATGCTAGGTTCTGCCTGCTGCCGCTGCCAGGACACTCTGTGCAAATATGCTTCCTCGGGGAGCCCAGCCTGCCATGTCTTACAGTCACCAATGGCTGGACGCTCCCTGTGTGAGTGTCCCCCGTGTGGGAGGCAGGCATTTCACGGCCTCTTTGGGGCTAGCAGGACACCACAAGACGGGAGGCACTCTCTTCATTCTGTTCTGGGCCTGACCCGCTGCCAATTGAGACGTTTATATCCGGAAGAGACTCTAGAGACCAGCTTTTCAGATTTTCCCTCTGCGCCCACTTTCCAGATGAGGAAACTGAGGCCCAGAAGGAGAGGGGCTCAGTCCTGGGCCCCACAGTGAGCGAGGAGCAGGACCAGGACTGGAATCCACCTCCTTTGACCTTCAGCCCTGTGATTTTCCCACCACAGCACCACAGAGGCGTGCCCCAGGACAGTCTGTCTGGAGAGTTTCCTTCCCTTTTTGGGAGGGAGGGGGGAGAGAACCAGGAGCATTTCCCCAGGTCAATGAGGAGTTGGGAGTGGAGGGGTCTGGGTGCCGGCTGTGCACACCCTGGCTCTAGGTGCTGGTCCTAGTTCTTCTCTCTGAGGAGCCTGATCCCTGGGGCCAGCCTGGGGCCTCACTGTTCACCTGAGCTGGCAGGAGGTTCGAGGCAGTCCTGGGGAGTAGGGCATGGGGGACGCGGCTTGGGGCTGGGCGCTGGGACACGGACGCACCCGGCTGAGGCCCTGTTGACGTCCCCACTCCTGAACACTGCGTGCCCACAGCTCCCACACCTGAGTGGAAGGGGAAGGGGCTTCTAGACCAGCTGAGAGGCCACAAGTTGTCCAGAGACAGCCAGAAGGGAAGGGAGGCCAAGGTGGACCGAGACTACCTCTGACATTCCTGCCGCAATGTGAGGGGCTAGCTGGACATCAGAGGGCTCTGGCAGCCCTTTCACAGGGAGGGGCCCTGAATCCAGGCTCCCCACAGGGCCCTCAGGCTCCCTGGGAAACTGTTGGGCTCAGGTGGATGCAGCTTTCACAGCAGCCTGTGTGCAGGGCCTCAGCTGGGCAGCCCCCCCCCCCCCCCACGCAGAGCAAGGCGCCGGGCCTGCGCGCCTGTGTTTCCAGGCCATTTGGGTCATCAGGACTCAGAAAAAGCGTCAGGGAGGAGGCCTGCATTGCTCCTTCTTCTCAGTGACACTTTCTAGTGTCACAGGGCACAGGGACTCTGTGGAAGGCTGTTTCACGAAAGGGAAATCTGAGGCATGGGAGACTCAGAAGGTTCGGGTGTTTGTCCAGGGCCACCTAGAAGCATCATATTGTTGGCTCCAGATGCCTCTTAGAAGAGAGGATGGGGGCTCTGGTTGTCTGGGGAGACAGAATTCTAGAGGCTGAGAGTGGGCTTGAGCAGGGAAGGGGCGCCGGAACTCACATGTGGCAATCCAAGAGCCTTCTGGAGGGGTCGTCCCCTGATGAGACATAGGAGAGAGGAACTGGCGTAGTGGGAGCTGGGCCTGGTGCTTTGTCCCAGTGAGGCTGGAACAGTGGGGGAGAAAGAGGTTCCCCAGGCGGAGCCAAACCTGCCAGAGCTGGGCACAGCCGAGGCCTGGGAGGCGGGAAGCCGAGGTCCCCAGTGTCCCCAGCCTGCCAGGCCTGCCGCCTCCCATCAGGCCCACCCTTAACGGTTGGAGGAGAAGCTGAAAGTCTAGGTGACGCAAGGGGCTCTCTGCTCGAGCGGCGCGATGCCTCAGACCGTGCTCAGCCCGCAGAGTCGAGGGCACACTTTGATGCGGTGTTTGGAGACGTACAGGAAGGGCCACAGTGTCACTCAGTGTGACAGACTCATTGTCCTTTCTGAGGCTCTGGCTGGAGACTGACGTGGGAGTCGGGGGAGTGGCTGCAATAGTCTCCTGTGGGGTACTTCTCTGCCACCCCCAGAAGCGGCTCTGCCTTGCCCCCATGTGTCCCTGGGACCAGCCCCTGCCTGGTGTGAGCCAGCCCTTTGCCTCAGCACTCGCTAAGTGGGTGCCATCTCCTGCTGATTTCCATCGAGATTGCTCCCTGCCTGGCCCCACAGCGGGTCCTGGTGTCCCCTCTGTCTGGGAGGGGCGTTGGGGTCACGACCGGGAAGGGCCCTACGTGAACAGCCTCAGAGGGGCTGCGTCCTGCTCTGGGCATGAGCCACGGGCCCTGGCCAGGTGGTGAGCCCTGTGGGGGCCGGCAGCTTTGTTGCATTCGTGGCTCAGTCTCGACCCCTTGGGAGGTGTCCGGCTCAGAGGAGGCGTCTGTTTGTGGAGTGAGTGGAAGTGGGGGGGCAGCGGGACTGGATGTGCCCGAGGGCTCCTCCACTTTAGCTCCCAGCCTAGCACTGTGCCAGGTACACTGGGGTGGTGGGTCTGGGGCTGGACTGTGAGCAGCTGGTGCTCGAGGCTGGCAGAGGCTGTCGGGAGTGGGGAGGCACCCTTGGTTTCCCTCTGGCAGTGGACGTTCCCCCGCTGGGTGGTTCTCGCTCTGAGCCCAGCCGCTCACCCAAATGGGAATAATGAGGCTTGCCGAGCAGGCAGCGTGAGGGGCGGTAATTACCCAGGTTCCACGAAGCTGCTTGGCTGGGTGGGGCTGGGCCTGCTGGCCGCCTGGCCTCCCTGGGGGAAGCAGCCCCCCTCAGGTCTCTGGCCTTGGCTCTGAATCCGGGCTGACGTGCACAGGCAGCTGTCGTGCCCGAGACTGGTGAGCCCCTTCAAGCAGGGGACACCCCCTTCTAGGACGGGGTGAGCGCTGTTCTGGGACAGCCGAGCCTGGCCACACGCCTCTTGCTTCCATGTGTAGTCTCTGAAGGGCTCCTCACTCTCCTTCAAATGCAGTTGGGGAAAAAAACAAAGCTGGGAAAGTATCCACCCCACCTAATGGTGCTCTTCCCCTGGCTCCTAGCTGTCTCCTGAAGAGGAGGAGAAGCGTCGGATCCGGAGGGAGAGGAACAAGCTGGCTGCAGCCAAGTGCCGGAACCGACGCAGGGAGCTGACGGAGAAGCTGCAGGCGGTGAGGAGCTGCGGGGGGCGGGAGCACTTTGTGGGTCGGAAAAGAGGCTGAGGGCTCGGGCCCCCCTCTCCAGGCCTGGCTCCTGGCGGCCTATACCTGGGTTCATAGGACAGAAACGGTCTTTCCTCCAAGCACTTGGGTAGCATCATGACAGATGCAGGGTCAGAGTCAACCTTTGGCTCCAGCCCGGCTCCAGAAGAGAGGCCCAGACAGCCTCCAGGGCCAGCACCTCTCACCCAGTGCCCGAGCGTTCCCTGCTCCTGGCAGGGCCCAGGGCAGGCCCAGACCTGCACCCACCAAGCTGCCAGCCACCCCTAGGTCTACCTCCAGCAAGGATGGTCTCGCGTCGCTCAAGCAACCTAGTTTGGGCAGAGAGGGAGACCTGCACACTCCTTCGTCTCTGCAGGGTCTTGATGCTCTCTGGGCCCTGGTGGAAATGGGTCACGTGCCTACTGAACTGTGTTATCTTGGGGCTCTGCCATATCCTTCACAGGCAGGAGGGTTCCCCATTTCTGCCCCGTGAGTCACTCTCCCACACCTGGGGGCCAGGGCCCAGCCCCGCCCTTCCCTCTCAAAAGCTTGACTTGACCTATGTCACGTAACTCCCTCCCGGGCCCGTGGGGAGGACCATGTGCTACGTGGAGGAGGCCCAGAGCCTGGCCTGGTGTCCCAGCTAGAGTGTTTTCAGAGTGAGGAAATGGGGAGCCTGCCAGTGGTTCTTACAAACACCAGCCAGGACAGGGCCCTGGAAGTCCGCCGCTCACCTCGCACACCCCCTTCCTCTGCTTAGTCCTCCAGGTCACGCCTGCTGCTTCAGCTGCCCTTTGCCTGCCTGGGGCCTCACTCTCGGGCACTGATAGCACATGGCACGGATTCAGAGACGCCCGTAGTAACACCTAGGAAGCTGCCGCTGGGGTCCCCAGTGTCAGGCCCCACGGGGGAGTCCCTCCAGGAGACCCCTCCTCACTGGGCCAACCTCCAGGCCCCAGAGCCGCCCTGCCCGGCCAGGCCTTCCACCGCCCCGCCAGGAGCCTCACACCGGCCCCCGCCCCGCCCCGCCCCCGGCCCCTGAGCCACATCCTCCACAGGAAACCTCTTATAAGCTCATGACGTTCATCAGACCCTTGAGACAGATGGAAACTTTTTTTCACTCCGGAATACTCTGTCCTCGGCTCAGTGATGCTCTGGCCCGGATCCTGTATCATCTCCTTCCTGAACAGGAATCTGTGAGGGAGAGGGCGAGTGGAGGGGTGGCCAGTGACCCCCCTGACTGTCTCCCCTATGGCCGGCTGCTTTGGCTTTCCATGACGGGAGGGCTGAGCCCGGCAGTGACTGTGCCGTCCTCACATCAGCGTCCTCAGCTGCGAGACCAGGTGCTGAGAGGAATGTGCTCCCTGGGCCCTGGGGCAGCTCTAGGAATTAGAGCAAAAAGGGGAAGAAGGGCTGAGATGTCCCCCTGGGGGTCACTGAGCGCTGACTGTAAGCCAGCCCCTGTGTTGGGCTGTGGATGCTGGAAATTTCCACTGTCATGCGGTGCAGAGTTGAGTGTGTCCACAGGTGGGCCAAATGGATCGAAGAGGTCAGGGAGAGGAGTGGAACTGTGGGCTCCTTTCCTCCCCACCCACTCCCTGCCTCAGCAGGGAGCCTGGTTGTATACGCTGTGGTCCTGTCTGGGCTGCCTCACCTCTGGCTCTGTGACTGTGCAAATGACTGAGCCTCTCTGGACCTCAGTTTCCTTTTCTGCAAAATGGGCTCATGATAGTAGCTGCTTCAAAAAACTGCTGGAGGATTGAATGAGACAACACTCTGGGATGCTTGCCAAAGCACCCTGTGCAAAGCGAGCACCTGCCCGTGCGACGAGGTTGTGCTGTCAGCTTGCCTCCGAGCTGGTTTTCTTCCCTTCGCAGTCTGGAGCCTCCTCGTGACTCCAACCGTGTGGTCTGTGGCCGGGTGTGTGAAACAGCCATTTCCCCGTCGCTTGTCTGAGGACATGGCTGGTTTTCCCTTTCTCTCCTGGATTTCAGTGCCCCCACCCCTGCACCCAGCAGGTCCCTGGCAGGTGGCTGTCCCTAATGTACCTCTCTTCCCCCCGCAGGAGACGGAGGAGCTAGAGGAGGAGAAGTCAGGCTTGCAGAAGGAGATTGCGGAGCTGCAGAAGGAGAAGGAGAAGCTGGAGTTCATGCTGGTGGCTCACGGGCCAGTGTGCAAGATCAGCCCGGAGGAGCGCCGATCGCCCCCTGCCCCAGGGCTGCAGCCCCTGCGCGGTGCGGGTGGTGGCGTGGGTGCCGTGGTGGTGAAACAGGAGCCCCCCGAAGAGGACAGCCCCTCGTCCTCGTCAGCGGGGCTGGACAAGGCCCAGCGCTCCGTCATCAAGCCCATCAACATCGCTGGGGGCTTCTACGGAGGGGAGGAGCCTCTGCACACCCCCATCGTGGTGACCTCCACACCTGCCATCACTCCGGGCACCTCGAACCTCGTCTTCACCTACCCCAGCGTCCTGGAACAGGAGTCGCCCGCGTCACCCTCGGAGTCCTGCTCCAAGGCGCATCGCAGAAGCAGTAGCAGTGGGGACCAGTCGTCAGACTCCTTGAACTCCCCTACTCTGCTGGCGCTGTAACCCACCCCCGGGGGCCCTCATCACGGCCTCCTTCCCAGGGACCAGCTCCTTCAAGAGCCCCAGGCCGCGCGGGCACGAGGGGGACCCTGCCTGGGAGCTTCCTGGCTCTGGGGAGGCCCGGGGGACTCGGTGGTGAGGCGTTGGAGGACTCGGACCATCTCTGGGGAGTCCGGGAGCTCTTCCCTCGTCCATCTTGCAAAGCAGATCCTGTTTCTTGAAAAGCCTTGGAGAACTTGGTTGGCGGACTCGGGCATCTCTCTGGCTTCCGAAGAGCCTGAAGCTGGCGTGGACCGCTCCTGTCCCTGTGTGACGCTGTGTCTCTGGAGTGATGGTGTCCCCCCCCACCCGCCCCACCAAGCATGCTCAGTGCCTTTTGGTTTCACCTTCCCTCTATTTGCCCCTTCCTTCCCCAAGTGTCAATTTCACTTCCTCTTGGTTTTTATCAAATTTGCCATGACATTTCATCTGGGTGGTCTGAATATTAAAGCTCTTCATTTCTGGAGATGGGGCAGCAGGTGACTTTTCTGCCAAGGGCTGACTTGTACGGAAGGGGTTAGTCGATGTGCAACCCAGACCCTTCCCTCCCTGGTGCTCCCTGGCCCACCACCATCTCCAGAACCAGCTGCAGGGCTCCCTGAGCTCTACAGGAGAGGCCGCCGCCACTGGAAGGCTCGGAGGACCCTTCCTCCCCATCCTTGGAGACGGCGCTTGGCGGAGCTGCTTGGCCAGAAGACAGGGTGTGAGTGAGACAGCCGGGCACAGGTTGGGTCTGCCAAACGCCTAATTACCAGGCCAGGAATAGTGCCAACAAAGCCACATGGGTGTCCAGCCAGCTCCCCTCCACCCGGTGTCTCGAGGAGGACGTCTCCTGTAATTACTGCCTCGCCATTCGGCCCCTGGACCCTTCTCTTCAGGCTGGGGAGGCGTCCCGCCCTGGGAACCACACATCACTCAACCTCCCTGTGGCTCGGCTCTGCCCTTTCCTCATCCCGGCTCTCTCGGGGTGACGCCACCCACGGAGATTTAATGAGCTTGGGCCTGGACCCTCCCCAGATTGCTGCCAGGCGGCCCCTCCCCAAGCCTGAAGCAGCCTTTGCTATGGATACAGAGCCAGGGAGGGAGGAGGAGCAAGCAGTTGGAGTGGATGTCACTCGGGCAGCCTGGTACCTGGCTGCTGCTGGGCCTCGTGGCCATCTGTGCCTGATGGATAGGTGCTTTCTCCTGTATGCTTCCCCATCCCTCACCCCAGCATGCTCCTCTGTCCATCGCCAGCCAGCTGTGAGCAGCTGGCCGGGAGCTGTTGGTGGGACTGGGGCTCAGCGGCCATCCCTGGGGGCTGCTGAAATCAGAGATGAGCTGTGTTGCTTCCCACGGGGTGGGGGGGTGCAGCTGGGGGCGAGGCCTGCAGGCGTAGCCTAGCATAGCTCGGCATGGGCCTTCCACCCCGCTTGGCCCTTTGCTCCCCAGGGTGCTGCCCTTCTGCCGTGGTCTCTGCTGGGCTCGAGCCCCGAGGATGCCCCACTCTTGTGGTTCGGCTCTAGAGACCATTGCAGGAGCTTGGAAAAGTCTTGATGTTGTTTCGATCAAAACGGGGTCAGAGGGTGCTTCCTTTCAAAGTCAGATGTCTTTGCTTTTCTGTTCTCCCCTTCATGGCCTCCCACACTGGCCATTGTTTAGTGTCCGTTACTCACTTGCCATGCACTGGACACAGTGAGTGGGACGTGAGAGGCTTACGCCTCATGACCCACTGTGACTGGAAGTGACGTGCGCCAGGACGGATCACACAGAGAGGAGAATTGAGAGAACAAGGATTTTATGCAGAAATACTCCACAAATGTTATTTCCCACATTCCTTGCATGTGACGCTGCCTTCCTGATAAGATTGGGCAATTGGATTTCTGGCTTCAGGTTAGTGAAGGAACCACTAGGTCAGCCAGGAGTAGCAGGCAATGGGCAAAGACAACCAGAGTGCACTCAGCTCTGAAGGCTTTTCCTCTCCAGTGGTCTTGGGCCAGCTGGGAGCTCTTGGCTTCTTGCTGCATATGTCTTCAGTGAAGCTGCTTTCTGGTGTTTTACTTCTAAAAGCTTCTCCACACCCCTTTGCACAGCACTGGTCCCAAGGCAGGTCACAGTCTGGCCTGGGGCCAGACTGGATGTTCCGGGACAGTTTGCTTTTGGTTGAGACTTCAGACTCTTGGTTTGGGGACCAGCAGAAGGCAGAAGCCTGGCTGCCGTGTGGGACTTCAGCGGCCCCCAGGGCCCGCCTTCCCATCTGGCCCCTCAGGCTTTGCTGTAGAGCGTGCTTTGGCTTTCCCAAAGCCAGGGGATATTCGGTGAAGGCTCTCAAGTCAAGAGCATATCTTCGGTTCCTTCCCCCGGCTTGGCATTCCCCTGCCCCTTACATGTCCTTTGCTCCAGAATCACCAGACACTGGGCCCGCCACCAGCACCACCTCTTCCCTGGCTCCAGTTAAGGGGCAGCTTCAGGGGGTGCCCCTGTGTCCCCGACCGAGGGGCAGCTGGTGTGGACTCTATTTGGGCTGGGACGGCAGCGGGCACTCCTTCACAGGCGAGTGTGAAACAAGAGGTCTTGGCCACTGGGCTGGGCTCCCTGGGGACCGTCCTCTTCCTGACTGGGTGGCTGGAGACAGCTTCTGACGCAGGAATGAGATCCCAGGTGAAGCTTAGGAAATTGCCAGAGTCAGCTCTAAGCTGAAAATTGACTAGGGAAGTTTTAGAAAGAAAGCATTGTTCCGCCAGCATGAAAGGCCAGGTGTGTCCACTGTGGCCGGTCACACAAGCTTGTCAAAGCCAACAGCCATCAGACGCTGCTGCTTCCTTTGCTCAGGCTTTGGGGAAAGGTGTCTCCTCTCTGTTTCAGGTATAAGGGTGGGCTCAATTCTCATAGGGACTTTCTTCCCCTTCTCTGATGGACCAACAGTGCACCTTGCAATCACACCATTTAACTTGCAGGTTGAGTCCTGCCCTGATGCAGCCCCTTTAAGGAGGAAACGAATAAGCATCTATACTGTGTGCCAGGCACTGTGTTAGGCACTTTTATGTTTATCTACTTTAGGATGAGACTAGGGGATGAGGCCGTCCCTTATAAAGGTCCCCAAGTAATGGATAAACAAAAAACACTTGTGGGGTGAGCAAGTCTTTCTTCAAAGAGCGGAGGCAGAGTTGCTTCCAGCCTGAGGTTTGTACCCTACAGCACCCTCACATCTCTCTCCCTTCACCCCTTTGCACTCCACAGGTGGTCAGCGGGATAACCTGAGACCTTATAGAATTTGTGGACCAATAGGATACATGGTGTAACTTTCTTTTTACGACTTAAGTAAAGGGGTCTTGCTACTTTCTGCTTGTTGAGGCTTCTTGGTATTCATCTTAAAAGCCAGCATCTCACTATTTATTGACAGGTGTGTGTGTGTGTGTATGTGTGTGTGCGTGTGCATTTCCAGGTGGACCCGTGTCCTCCTGCAGCTTTAAAAAATGGAAACCCAGTCATCCCACTACTAATTTGACATCTTGTGCTTCTGGTGTTTGGGCTGTATACCAACAAAGGGTTTTGATTTTCCAATGCTGACATGTTCAGGAGGAGCTGGGTCAAAGTTTAGGGGGGCGGGATGGGATTGGGAGGGGAAGAAGAAATTGACAATTATTTTATTATTTATTTTAAATGTTTACATCTTTGTGTTGTATCAAGCCTGAATAGAAACAAATAGCATTAAAATAGTCAGTTCCTCTCTCCCTCTCTTCTTGATTTTCTCTTTAAAATTTCAGCTGATGATGCTTTATTTTTGGTGTCTAAAATGATTCGTGACTTATGCTGTATAAACCGTCTAAAAGGTTCTCTTTAAAGATGGCGTATCATTCCTCTGGGGACAGTGGTGAGTGACAGAGAAGTCTGTATTGCTGCAGAGCACAAGGAGAGATCCTGCCCTGTTCCTCCAAATATATTTTCTCTGTATACTGAAAAGTTTATGCCATTTATTTTAGCTTGTGGTTGCTTGATGTCATGGAAGGAAATACTTGCCTTTGTATAAAGACTAGGTATCAGGGTGTCTTTTCTGCAGTGGGAGATGTATATAGTATTTTGGAACATAGTGGAAGCCATAAGCTTTGTGCACCTGTATTGCTATCTGTCAATGATGTGGTGTGAAGTCTGCTGTGAGATCCCGGAGGCAAACAAGCTGTACACGATTTCTGTAGCTCGGTGGGAAACTCCATTTCTTTGCGGAGCATCTTTTTCCTTTTCCTTGTCAATAGTGGTGAAATGGTCCCTTTGGAAAGACTCAAAACTAGTCCTCTGCAGGCAGGGCCTTGAGCTCAACAATCTGTACAGTTTTGAAAATTGAGGAGTGGCTCTGCTCTGAAGCATCTCTGGTGGTGTTTATTGTGGTTGTTTTGTTGTTATTTTACTGTAATTCAAGCCTACAGTATTTGCACTAAAGAAAGCTCGTTAGAAAAAGCTTGCTGCTATGGAAGAAAGAATATATTAAAACTTTTTTTTCCTTTGCGGTGTTTTTTTGTTAGTTTTCCACTTCCCATTGAGTAGCGTTTTATAGAATAAACTGAATTAAGATCGAAGAGCTGCCTCTGGTTGCTTTATTCCCTTTTCTCCCCATTTCTTCTGTCCCTTCTCTTTGTGGCTCAGCCTTCTCTCTCTCAGGCCTGCGGATCAGGATGGGGTGGCGGTGGTCTCTCTGCTGGGGGTTTGGGAGGTTGTGGAGTGGGAAGCCGGGAAGGGCTGGCTCAGAACTTCTCCAGCACACCGCTGGGGTCCCTCGCCATTGTGTGTCGACGATTCTCTGCCCACTGCCAATTACTGCCAAGCTGTGGGCCACTAAAAGCCCTGTCCCTTGGAGGGGGCGGTGTTTTGTTGACTAGACAGGCTCTGGAAACCCGTGAATCTTCAAAGAATCAATTAAACCTGTTGCTCAGATGATCCAGGTGGTCAAATGAGGTCACGAGCAAACCCCCGCAGGCAGGCCTCACAGCTAAGTGGGAAGATGGCGTCGCCAGGACTCCTCCCTGCACAGACACAGACTGAGGTGTGGCAGGTAACCGCGGGGGTACCTGGGGAACATCTGTCCTGGGGTGCGCGCTCCTTGCAGTGTGCATGGTGGAGTGGCAGACCTGCCATTAGTTAGTGCCTGTAGTGGCTGGCTGCCTCTGGCCAGCTCGGAGTGCGGCTCTCATGCCCTGGAGAACCAAGGAGCCCGGACCATGGGCCAGGGGGACCCCAGGTCTGCCCCACTACTTAGTGGCTGTTGAGATTTGGAGAAAATGAGCCTGTCCCAGGCTTAGTGTCCCTGTCTGTCAGGGGAGGGTCATGTAATATCACAGGAACCCCCACAGCGGGAGGAAACCCGCTGGGCCTCTCCCCAGGGTGGGGCGCCCAGCACCGGGCCTCCCAGTGACCTCTCCCACCCAAGGGGACAGCACAGAGGGGCTCAGAGGTGCTGCCCTCCTGAGAGCGCCAGGGAGGCAGATGCGTGCG